AAAGTTATTTTTTTTAAAAACAACATTTTCTTCACACCCACATAAAAACTACACAATGAGTTGTCGGTGATGACTGGTGAACAGCCTGGTCTATGTACAAATGATTCCACACTCAAACATCAGTATAAGTTTCTAAGCATAAACGCTGTTGAAAATACAAAATACCAAACCAAAATTGTTGGCAATTCCAAAACATACATCATGGTTTTCTAGGATTAAAGTACATGTGACCTTCAAACCAAATTCCAAGGAGAACAATCTTTTATAACCTTTGAACCTTGTTCCCAAATCATTGCCAATCATTTACTTATCTTAAAAACACTTTTTAAAAGTACAGATGACCTAATGACGGCCTTTGTCCGTCACTATAATCAGTCAATGTAATATCTATAGTGAGGCTCCGAGAAAGAAGGAACATTGGTTCAAGTGTGCCTGCCATGAGATGGCGATACAATGTCCGACCATTTATCACAAACACAATGTAACTTCTTGGTGTTCTACACTGGAGGTGGTGATCTAAAGTCAGAGTACTGGTGGTGATCTAAAGTCAGAGTACTGGAGGTGATGTTAAGTCAGAGAACTGGAGGCGATCAAAAGGCAGTACTGGAGGTGATCTAAAGTCAGGGTACTGGAGGTGGTGATCTAAAGGCAGAGTACTGGAGGTGGTCTAAAGTCAGAGTACTGGAGGGGTGATCTAAAGTCAGAGTACTGGAGGTGATCTGAAGTCAGAGTACTGGAGGTGGTGATCTAAAGTCAGAGTACTGGTGGTGATGTAAAGTCAGGGTACTAGAGGTGGTCTAAAGTCAGAGTACTGGAGGTGGTCTAAAGTCAGAGTACTGGTGGTGGTCTAAAGTCAGAGTACTGGAGGTGATCTGAAGTCAGAGTATTGGAGGTGATCTGAAGTCAGAGTACTGGAGGTGATCTGAAGTCAGAGTATTGGAGGTGATCTAAAGTCAGAGTACTGGAGGTGGTGATCTAAAGTCAGAGTACTGGTGGTGATCTAAAGTCAGAGTACTGGAGGTGATCTAAAGTCAGAGTACTGGAGGGGTGATCTAAAGTCAGAGTACTGGAGGTGATCTAAAGTCAGGGTACTGGAGGTGGTGGTCTAAAGTCAGGGTACTGGAGGTTGTGGTCTAAAGTCAGAGTACTGGAGGTGATGTTAAGTCAGAGTACTGGAGGTGGTGATATAAAGTCAGAGTACTGGAGGTGATCTAAAGTCAACTGGAGGTTGTGGTCTAAAGTCAGGGTACTGGAGGTGGTGGTCTAAAGTCAGGGTACTGGAGGTGGTGGTCTAAAGGCAGAGTACTGGAGGTGGTGATCTAAAGGCAGAGTACTGGAGGTGGTCTAAAGTCAGAGTACTGGAGGTGGTGATCTAAAGTCAGAGTACTGGAGGTGATCTAAAGACAGAGTACTGGTGGTGGTGATCTAAAGTCAGAGTACTGGTGGTGGTGATCTAAAGTCAGAGTACTGGAGGTGATCTAAAGTCAGAGTACTGGTGGTGGTGATCTAAAGTCAGAGTACTGGAGGTGGTGATCTAAAGTCAGAGTACTGGAGGTGGTGATCTAAAGTCAGAGTACTGGAGGTGGTCTAAAGTCAGAGTACTGGAGGTGGTGATCTAAAGTCAGAGTACTGGAGGTGATCTAAAGTCATAGTACTGGAGGTGATCTAAAGTCAGAGTACTGGAGGTGATCAAAAGTCAGAGTACTGGAGGTGGTCTAAAGTCAGAGTACTGGAGGTAGTAATCAAAAGTCAGAGTACTGGAGGTGATCAAAAGTCAGGGTACTGGAGGTGATCTGAAGTCAGAGTACTGGAGGTGATCTGAAGTCAAAGTACTGTAGGTGGTGATCTAAAGTCAGAGTACTGGAGGTGGTCTAAAATCAGAGTACTGGTGGTGATCTAAAGTCAGAGTACTGGAGGTGATCTGAAGTCAGAGTACTGGTGGTGGTGATCTAAAGTCAGGGTACTGGAGGTGATCTAAAGTCAGAGTACTGGTGGTGGAGATCTAAAGTCAGAGTACTGGAGGTGATCAAAAGTCAGGGTACTGGAGGTGATCTGAAGTCAGAGTACTGGAGGTGATCTGAAGTAAAAGTACTGGAGGTGGTGATCTAAAGTCAGAGTACTGGTGGTGGTGATCTAAAGTCAGAGTACTGGAGGGGTGATCTAAAGACAGAGTACTGGAGGTGGTGATCTAAAGTCAGAGTAATGGAGGTGATCTGAAGTCAGAGTACTGGAGGTGGTGATCTAAAGTCAGAGTACTGGTGGTGATCTAAAGTCAGAGTACTGGAGGGGTGATCTAAAGACAGAGTACTGGAGGTGGTGATCTAAAGTCAGAGTACTGGAGGGGTGATCTAAAGACAGAGTACTGGAGGTGGTGATCTAAAGTCAGAGTACTGGTGGTGATCTAAAGTCAGGGTACTGGAGGGGATCTAAAGTCAGAGTACTGGAGGTGGTCTAAAGTCAGAGTACTGGAGGTAGTGATCAAAAGTCAGAGTACTGGAGGTGATCTAAAGTCAGTACTGGTGGTGATCTGAAGTCAGAGTACTGGTGGTGATCTAAAGTCAGAGTACTGGAGGTGATCAAAAGTCAGAGTACTGGAGGTGATCTAAAGTAGGTGGTGATCTAAAGTCAGAGTACTGGAGGTGATCAAAAGTCAGAGTACTGGTGGTGGTGATCTAAAGTCAGAGTACTGGAGGGGATCTGAAGTCAGAGTACTGGAGGTGATCTGAAGTCATAGTATTGGAGGTGATCTGAAGTCAGAGTATTGGAGGGGATCTGAAGTCAGAGTATTGGAGGTGATCTGAAGTCAGAGTATTGGAGGGGATCTGAAGTCAGAGTATTGGAGGTGATCTGAAGTCAGAGTATTGGAGGGGATCTGAAGTCAGAGTATTGGAGGTGATCTGAAGTCAGAGTATTGGAGGGGATCTGAAGTCAGAGTATTGGAGGTGATCTGAAGTCAGAGTATTGGAGGTGATCTGAAGTCAGAGTACTGGAGCTGATCTAAAGTCAGAGTATTGGAGGTGATCTAAAGTCAGAGTACTGGAGGTGGTCTAAAGTCAGAGTACTGGAGGTAGTGATCAAAAGTCAGAGTACTGGAGGTGATCTAAAGTAGGTGGTGATCTAAAGTCAGAGTACTGGAGGTGATCTAAAGTCAGAGTATTGGAGGTGATCTGAAGTCAGAGTACTGAGTAAGTTTCTTACACAAGTCATCTTATTTTACTTTTTATTATATGAGTCATTCTTCTTAGAATTTTCCACCATGATTTGTGCTAAACTTCACTCCCTTTAATGATTCATTTGTTCAAGCTACTCCCTTTACAGGCCAGCAATAGGATCCATTCTACCTGGCACCACTCTATTCACCTTAAAAGAGTCTGCTTTGCCAATGTGCTCATAAAAAGGACATACAAAAAACAAGTCTCTAAAAACTGTTATTGACTCTTCCCCTTTGATCATCAATCTTGGGACAGTCATCTGTCTGAACTCAATTACATCCATCCCAACTGCTTTGCTCCTTCGTTGAAGATTATCACTACTTTCTGAATCAAAACTGTCTGGTATTTGTAGTGTAGTTATATGCCTCCAAGCTGAGGTAGATAACTGACAAACAGAAGGCCTAGCAATGGCAATGCATCACTCTATGATTGGACAGTTTCTTTTCTTTCAAATAATAGATTTTTGTTTCGTTTTGGAACACAAAATTTCAAAATTACAAGGCCACTTGAGATTTTATGACTGTAAGACCTTGCTCTCTGACAGTTCTCAGCCTGCTTTGTTAACATATGACTCTGATACAAGAATGAAGTACTTCCTCATGTCAAGCCTCTGAGGCACACTGACCATAAACACTTCAAAATCACTTAAATGTTTGGAGAACTGACGTGTATTTGTTATATTGTAATTTGGAGGTGGAACCTTTCTTTTAACATGTTGCCAGTTTAAATTTGTGCTGGTATTGTAGTAGCCTTGCTGTCAGGGCTTCTCAAATATAAACAGTTCTCACCCCTTGGCGTTTTGACAGATTTAAGTATTTTTTTCAGTGAGAAAATTTGAAACATGATTTTCGCAAATTCATTTTGGCAGATTCAAGTTTTTTCTTGTGTTTTGAAACTTTAACCATGTTTTACAGACATCTTGAATGGACTGTTTGACATAAGTTTAGTAATTTCTCTCCTTTTTTAATGCTGAGTTATTTAACTGTTGAGCTGGCAGACTGACATCACAATAAACAGTTGGACTATGGTAACATCATGATTTATCTCCCCTTGTTCTTCATTTGGTTGGTTGAATGATGGGTTTATAGACTCCTTTTCACGGGCGGAGCCCGTGTTCTGGCGTCTTGAGGGGGTAAGTCTCCAGCTTACCAGGCGATTCAAAATGACCTTTCCCGTCCAGATCACGCCCTAAGGTCGGTCAGCTCCTTAGATGCGGATAGGCTGTCACAGTTACATACAGCACGTATACGGGAGCGTGGAACACGTCCTTTAAACAGCTTCACTGTCCTCCTATGTGTTCTTCATTTGTAACCTACCATATTTATACTACAATGAGCCAAGAGGGCCAACACAAAATATCTGCCTCAAAATAAGGGCTTATAACATGACAATAAATTAAAATAGGTTGGCATTTTACCAAACTGCAACAGATACTGTAAGTGGTCTTATTTCCAGGAATGAGCTTACATTGCCAGATAAATACAATAGTTCAATAAAATGTGGGCTGGCCAGGAAGTCTAACACATCAGAAATTTTCATTCTAGTGTAGTTGATATGCATAATTTCAATAAATGACTTTGACCCGATCTTCCATCTTCACTAAGAAATGAATTTGGTTGATCCTCAGAGTCTATTGTTATAATTTCTGTCTCCATAATAAAGCATTGTTTGCTGCAATATCAGACACACAGACAGACATCTGCGTCTTTGTTAAAGGCCAAGAAGACAAAGGTACACCTTACACTGATTAAAGGTCAAAGGTCAAAGGTCAAAAGTTACTGTACTCACTTGTCTTTGAACTCCTTGAGGATTCGATTGGAGTAGAACATGCCAGCATCCATAAAATCCTTAAGGTAAGGTCCAGGGGTCGGGGCCTGGAAACAGGACAACAATCATTTTCATACAGTTTTCATACATGCCACTCAATGATATACAACTCATTTACACAAAACCTATATACAGTGTAACCTGTCTAAATCAGATGTCACCGGGACCAAGCTATTTGGCCAGTTTACACAGGTGTCTGGTTTATACAGGGTTGGCATGTCATTTTTTTGAAAATACAAAAATGTAGTGTTTTGCATACGATCTGTATACAAGTGTGTTAACATACACAACAGATCAATCAATTGCAACGTTTGATTATTTACAAAATATACAGTTTATAATACAAATGAAGGGCAATCCAACATTGGATAGTGCTGACATGTTTAGAATGTGTTTGCTTTAGATTGGAGCCGGCCGAGAGAAATTTCAGGACCGGATTGAACAGGTTGTTTTTACATGGATTACTTTGCCAACTTTTGTGAAACAACGCTGGTTTTCGGAAAAGACATGGTCTGGTTTATACAGGGTTTAACTACTATGATTATATAGAGAATATGCTAGGACCACAAATCACAGCCAGTTTAGACAGGGATCCAGATTAGACAGGGGCCAGTTTAGACAGGTTTTACTGTACATACAACTTGTTTAGTGAAATAGTGAAATAAGTATGATATTCACAAGTCTAACACAGCGTACAAAATCTTTAAATATATGATAAATTATATTGTAGCATTGTTTTTTCTACCTAAATTTTGTTGCACGGGGAAACAGCTTGTATTTGACTGTAAAAAGATTGCCATGTAGAAAACCTTAATAAATACTATCAGATATAGTGATAATATGGCCATGAGCTTCCAAGTGATCAGGCTGATCCCTACAGATGAGGAATGAGGATAAGACAGTTGGTCTCCATATCAATACAAAAATGCCACTGATTCCAATATGAATTTATATTTACTTTGATGTTAGCTTTTTAGAACAAATCATTTACCTGCAAATACATATTCCGTCTTTGCGTATTGCAGAGTTATCTTCTCTTGTGAGCAGGTATTGATTGTTATGTCATTGGTTTGTGTGAGAAAATTTCGTCGTTTTCTCAAAAATTAATGACGTTACTCTCACAAACAAATGACGTAACAATCAATACCTGCTCATAGGAGGAGATAACTCTGCAATACGCAAAGACGGAATATCTTACTCATTAACATAACCCATTCCTGCTTATATCATTATGGTAAAATGTATTGATATTTTACCAGTGCCTACTTGCCAACTCTCCCTATTTAGGAGAGATAGTCCTGATATTGGACCATTAAATTTAATATGTTCAACCGGTGAATTTGTTACACTATTCCCATTGTTATATATAATGGTTCCATTTGAAGGAACAATTAGAAACATGCCATTTTGAAATGTTATATTTTCTTAAGGGAAATATAAAAACATTTTATTTATATTTTTGATTCTGAGCAAAGAGAATCTCCTCCCCCATGAAAATTTCAAAATGTTGGTAAGTGTGTATTTAACATAACTCATACATGGTTATTTAACTTGTGATATTGGTAATTGACCAGTGGTCAGAGAACACTTACAACAGAGATCCAGCCCAGCCCTGGGATAGATTCACTGACGGTGGACAGATGGTTGAAGAATGGGCTCTGCCTTTTACTCTCACGGAACTCCTGTAAACCGAAAACAATGTCATGTTGAGTACAAGATAGCATCAACCTTCTACAACCTTGTGCCTAGCTACAATAGATAATACATTACAAACGTAGGATTTTTATCAAAGTAAGATGAAGCGTTAATGTTTGCGATTTTTTTATTGTATATATAGAGGATATCTAACAGTGTCTTCAGTAATACCAAGCTAATATTTTGATATCTTTCACAAGTGTGCAGCATGAAATATATTCCATATTACTGAAGACACTGCTAGATATTCTGATTGTATTTCCAAAAACCTTCCCCAGAAAGCTAAGTAACACACCAAGCTGACAATACTTGATCTGAATCCTTTTACCACTAGCATCAATATTAAATTTTCAATATTTCACTGGTAAAAAGGTAATAAATTACTATAAACTAAAAATGGACAAAAAATATCACATACGCGATGTTCAGATTGTTTGCAAGAAAATCAATCTGAAGAGTAATATAATGATGTTTCAGCGATAACACATAATTGAATATGTTGGAAAGTTAACTGCAACTAGATTTTACGCCATCATAAACATTAAGAATATGCATTTTAAAATAAAATGAATCTAATTTGAAAACTTGATCCAACAGCTGTTAATGTAGGTTTCTGACAAGGCTTTAACCCTTTTACCCCTAAAATCACATTTGAACCTTACCAAATCAAAGACTGGGCAAGTCCAGCTTAGATAAGCAGGGGTGAATGAGTTAAGTCTATATTTATGGGAAAGCAGAATGCCACAAGGAGTTATTTCCCTTCTACCATATAAAATACAATAGATAAAAAAGGTCACGAGAGAAAGGATCTGCTTATTTGTTTAGGGTTTCTGTTCTTGAAACATCTTAATTCATATAAAGAGAGTTTCTACGGCTGATGGGGCCACTTAAACACCACTTAAAGCACCATATCATTGAAATGTCATTATCTGGACAATGACATCATTATATATAAAGTGAAGTAGTTAATACTCTACAAACAGAGGCAGTTGCTGCGTGTAATTCCCATACTGCCCTCAACTTCTTCAAAGATTGTCTCCCCTTACTTTTAAAGTAAAGTTCCGTACGCTGGTATTCAAGTAATGCTTAAAATTGAAAATGTTTGTGGCAGTAACGACTTTCTCTAAAATCTATAAAGCATCCTAACTCTATTAAGATTATATAGTTACCCAACATTAAATGAATTAAGGCCGTTACTGTACAGAGCTTAACTTCATGAAACAAGTAATCAATATACCTCTTATTTTTAAAATACAGACATTATATACTATCCATAAAACCTGCTAAATTGCAGGATAAATTGTAATATCCATCAAAAGGGCTATTCTCAGATTTATTGTGGTGAGTAATGACGTAATAATCTGAAAGTTTTTAAATGTTTTTAATCTTCGTCATATGAAGATGATTATAATGCTATGTAATAAAGAAATACAACAAGGAGGAAATAAAGAAAGTCTGTCTGTCTGTATGTGGAAATCTTTTGGAATCGTTATACGAGATAAACTCAAATAAAAAATAAACTTCTTATATTTGACAAATTACCTTTTGCTATATGTGTTTTTTCAAGCAAAAGAAAACCTAAACACACTTTTATTAGAAATACAATTGAGAGAAAGCTAAAGTACACATCTTATTCGGTTAAGTTACATACAGAAGCACTTCATCCAACCAAGCTACATGCTTTTTCATAAGAAATGATTTTAACATTATAACATTTTGGACTCTTGTGACCTTGCCAGAAGGTCAAGTTCATTTATCTCAACAGATAGTTTTAACCACTTCAATTAAGGTAAAGGTCAAATTCTACAACCCCTTGTTCTATGCCACAAAGTAATTTTGATTTTTTGGGCATGCTGGACTTCTGTGACTTTAAAAGTAGGTCAAAGTTATTTTACTTAAGTAGTTCATAGCCTTTTATCCCAGCAAGCTACAAACCAAACATCATGAGTCCAGGCACGTCATTTCGGTAGAAGTGGTTTAAATGATAAATGTAGGTTGGCAAGATGTGGATGATGGATATTTTACCTTCATATAGCCTTACATGCCCTTTATTCCAGGTGAGCTAAAGCTCCAATTTAAAATTCAGTATTAATGATGCATTAATTTCCCAATCAAACTCTCTAAACTTCTGTTTTTCTGCTTTTCTAAATGATCGTGTCCTCCCAGAGTACTTACCATGATGGTCTGTATACTTTGTGATGTCGGCTGCAGCAGCTTAGCCATTAAAGCCTGTAAAGATTGGAAATAAAAATATCACCTTTAACAAACAAAATTCTCTCCATAATTAATGACAGTAACCAATTAAACATCTAACAACAGTAACCCATCAAACATCCAACAACAGTAACCAATCAAATATATAACAAAAGTAACTCATTAAAAGACTAACGGCAGTAACCAATTAAACATCTAACAACAGTAACTCATTAAATGACTAAAAACAGTTACCCATTCCAAAAACTAACAACAGTAACCCATTAAACAACTAACATTAACCCATTAAATTATTAATGGCAGAATTCCATTAAACAACTAACAACAGTAACCCATTAAACAACTAACAGCAGTGACCCATTAAGCAACTAACCGTAACCAATTAAAAGACTAACAGCAGAAACCTATTAAAGGACTAATGGCAGTATCCCATTAAAAAACTAACAATAACCCATTAAATGACTAACGACAATAACCAATTAAAAGACTAATGGCAGTATTCCATTAAACAACTAACAACAGTAACCTATTAAACAACTACAGAGTAACAACAGTTTCTTATTAAACAATTAATAGTAAACAATTAAAAGACTAATGGCAGAAACCTATTAAAGGACTTATGACAGTAATCCATTAAATGACTAATGATAGTAACCAATTAAATGCCTAATAACGTAACTTATTAAACAACTTACGACAGTAACTCATTAAATGACTGACAGCAGTGACCTATTAAGCAACTAACAGTAACCAATTAAAAGACTAACAGCAGAAACCTATTAAACAACTAACAATAACCCATTAAATGACTAACAACAATAACTCATTAATCGATTAATGACAGTAATCCATTAAATGACTAATGATAGTTACCAATTAAATGCCTAACAACGTAACTTAAATGCCTTACAACGTAACTAGATAAACAACTTACGACAGTAACCCATTACCTGTAAAAGTTTATACATACTGACAAACTGTGCGAGCTTGAAACAAGTAACCGGAAAATGGTTTGTAAATAAAGAAAGAACACACGAACAGTTCATCTTATAAATGTAAGAAAATGTAGCTAAGTATTTCAAACTTCATTTGGATCTGGATAGATTTCTTTATCATATCATTGAATTGGATCCTTTACGGTTTTGCTTATGTAGATCCTCAGTCATTAAAAGCAGGAAGTTAATTCAGGGCAATCTTCACAAATATAACCATAAATACTTTGTGATTAAATCGCTGTAAATTGTTAATTTCTTTTTCAGATATTTTAATATGAATTATATGGAAAGTGACAAGTAAATAGCAATTAATTTTGATCAAAGTTCAACTGTTATGTTAGTTTTGAAAAATTATGATTTAACCGTTATCCTGTTGGAAGTATATTTTAACGATCGTACACATGTTTCCATGTAAAACTTAAAACACTTGATAACTCTGTAGTAAAACTCGTAGTAACCAGAAGATCACATGACCGTTTCTACAGCATCAGTTATCAAAGTGCCAGCCCTGGTGATTTGTGGCTGCAGTAAGTATGATATCATTCGTTTTACACACAAAAAACCCGTTTATTTAGTATATTTTCACTTACAGAAGGTTGTAAAACCATAAAAATCTTTACAAAAAATAAATCACAGAATTTTTGTGCACTTTAATAATTCACCCGAGGGCTATATAGAACAGACCATACTAAATTTCTTCCTCCCCCTAGTTATCTCAATATAGAAACAATATTACAAACACATCAAATTCTTTGAAAAGGTGAAAGTTGTTTTTTTCATCGTACTTTAAAAAACTCACATGGGTATTCTTCAAAGAGGTCTGAATGTTCAAATATTTCTATCACCGAGAATCACGCTGGTAATCTAGCACATGGTTTATTAAAGTTCAAAACAAAAAATGTTAAAAATCATTTATTATGCATTTTAAGACATATTAGTTCTATTTATTTAGAAACTTCAAAGAAACTGTCCAGAATCATGCACAGAGAAGAATTTGTTAAATGCCAAATAGATGTAAGGCAGCCGTACGAAATTTGTTACACATCTTCAATTTATTTTTATTTTTTTTTGTTAAATACTTTCCCATACCAAGTTCAAATATGAAGTCATACAAACCAAAATAATTATTTCAGGGCTCATTAGAACTTTAAATCATTCACCCGTGAAATTTCATAATGAACTATTCCAACCATTTAATTGAGTTCAAAAGTGTTTTCAGGGGGAAAAAGAGTTAAAATTTAGATTTTAAAACACCTGTTCATCTGTATTTGAATTTTTCTCTTAATTTGATGTATTATCAGCAGAAAAAACATGCTGCAAGAATAATTCTTTTACATGTATCAGGAAAGTTTTAATCTGAATACAATTTTTTCATTTCTGTCAGTTTTTTGTATTGGAAACTTTCTTCGTGGAGCTATTACACTTTGTCGGGTTGACATCATGTAGATCTGGAGTACTGTGAAGCACTCGTTTTATTTTTTTTTATTTTTAATTTTCATTGATTTCGCATGTAATCTTCATCCAAGAATTCATACGTCCAGGAAGTAATTACAAGTGCGACATAAAACAATTCTCCATTTTAGTGGGTTCTCGTAATCCACAAATTTATATACCTATAAAACGGGAAACGACAAAATCTGGGGCCCACGAAAATATCTGATTTCACAGTAACCACAGCCTGTGTATCTGTGTAATAGGGGTGTCACAATACGCAAAGAGTGTATCCCGATATATTGCAATACAGAATGAATATATTGCGATACGTATCCCGATATAGTCATAGGAATGTATTGAACAAGTAAAGAGTGAAAAAACTCCTTGGTGTAAAAATTGACAACAGTTTATCTTGGTTAGATCACATAGCATCTGTTGTTTCAAAGATTAACAGTGGTTTGGGTTTACTTCGACGCATCCATCAATATTTACCACTTTCAGCTAGACTTAAATTTTTTCACGCATGTATTTTTCCCCACTTCATGTACAGTAGCACAGTATGGAGCGGATGCTCTTTAAATCTTCTACAAAAACTGTCAAAAGCGCAGAAACAAGCTGCAAGATTACTGTTGGATGCTCCATTTGATACACCATCAGTAGAAATGTTTTCTTCATTAGGGTGGTTACCAATTGGCAAATATTTGAAATTCAAAAGAGGTGTTATGGTGTACAAATGTATAAATAATCTAGTTCCAGGATATCTTTCTAATCAATTTAATTTGTCTAACAACAGATATACTAGATCAGCATCCCAAAACTCTGTCAAGGTACCCAAACACCGTACCACATTTTATTCCAAACACTTTTTGGTACAAGGGAGCCAGATTTGGAATAATTTACCGGTTGAAGTAAGACTCTCTTCCTCCTTGACAAAACTCAAACAAAATATGATTGGTAGCATTAAGAATGCGGTTTAATTGTCTTTAATTTTACTATTATACTTTTTAGATACAGCTTTGATTTGTTTTATTTTCGCTATATTAGCGTGTATTCTGTCAATTTTTAGCTTTTGCTACATTAGCATATATGTAAATTAGACAATTTGTCGTTTAATGAAAACCACAATGGGTTAAGCACGGAATATATTTTGTGCTTCTGTGATAATTTTATTGTAATTGTATTGAACGACCGTTTAAATTATGAAATAACTGTGATATGAATTGCTGTTTTAGTAGACCAACAATTATTTAATGTACATTTATTTGATGTGATACTACTTTGTCTTTTAACTAACCAATTTTACTAACAGAGGACCCTGTGGAAGATTAGCTTTGCTAAACAGGTTTTGTATCCTCAATAAATAAAGTTTATTATTATAGGAAGGATGTGCTCAATTCTATAATAATTCTTTAAGTTGTAAATTGTTGTCAGAATGTTATCAAACTAAATCATAAACAATACAGATTACATAGATTTTAGATTTTTGTCAACCCAACCATCGATTACAAAATTTGAACTATTAAAAGCCTGCTTTATGCTTATTAGCATATCTGTTAGTATTTGTACTAATTTGCAAAGTTAAAACACCAAGCAGATACATAAAAATATGCTTTTGAAAAATATTGCGATACACTCACTGCAATATTTCATCTCTGTATTGTGGTACGATATGATATACCTAGCTGTGTATTGCGATATACCTGTTTTCCGATGTATCATGACAGCCCTACTGTGTAACCATGGTGAAATATAGACCTACATGGACCCACCAACACGACAAACAGTAGGATGAGATGACAGTAGACAGTCTATACATGGGGTAGAGTATGGGATGACAGTAGACAGACTATACATGGGGTAGAGCATGGGATGACAGTAGACAGTCTATACATTGGGTAGAGTATGGGTTGACAGTAGACAGTATATACATGGGGTATAATATGGGATGACAGGAGACAGTCTATACCTGGTGTAGAGTATGGGTTGATAGTAGACAGTCTATACATGGTGTAGAGTATGGGATGACAGTAGACAGTCTATACATGGGGTAGAGTATGGAATGACAGTAGACAGTCTATACATGGGGTAGAGTATGAGATGACAGTAGACAGTCTATACATAGCGTAGAGTATGTGATGACAGTAGACAGTCTATACATGGCGTAGAGTATGGGATGACAGTAGACAGTCTATACCTGGTGTAGAGTATGGGTTGACAGTAGACAGTCTATACATGGTGTAGAGTATGTGATGACAGTAGACAGTCTATACATGGCATAGAGTATGGGATGACAGTAGACAGTCTATCCATCGGGTAGAGTATGGGTTGACAGTAGACAGTATATCCATGGGGTAGAATATGGGATGACAGTAGACAGTCTATACATGGGGTAGAGTATGGAATGACAGTAGACAGTCTGTACATGGCGTAGAGTATGGGATGACAGTAGACAGTCTGTCTATACATGGGGTAGAGTATGAGATAACAGTAGACAGTCTATACATGGCGTAGAGTATGTGATGACAGTAGACAGTCTATACATGGCATAGAGTATGGGATGACAGAAGACAGTCTATACATAGCGTAGAGTATGGGATGACAGTAGACAGTCTATACATGGGGTAGAGTATGGGATGACAGTAGAGTCATTAAAAATAAGATTTATAACAGGCCTTTCTTTATTATTTTTTTTTATCCAATTTCATCCGTTATTGAGGCCTAAAATTGCAATTCATTATAAATGTAGTTCATAAAAAGTGTTTTTTTGTGAATGTGCTTGCATAGCATTTTGTATTGGTAGTTATGGCAGAGGAGGAATAGAATGGTACCGTAGTTATGGCAGAGGAGGAATAGAAATGCTTGGAGGAGGGTGTAAACTAAGTAAAGTTACCCAAACCTAGGAAATAATGGATATTATAAAGTAGTGATCAGCTCTGTTGTATTAAAAGGTACAGCATTAAGACTAATTTAAACGCTTTTCTTAATGTTTACTTTCTATTTCAAAGGTAGTTTTATAGCTACCCCTCATCTGCCGGTTAATTGTCAGATCACGAAGTAATTTATTCATGCACATGCAATTTACCTGTCACTAACACTCAAATATTAATAATCAGAATTCTTATGATAATTACCCTTCTTGTGAGAAATCCTGAATGAGGACAATGATAATTACTTCCCTTACAGGTGCCAATCACAATAAGTGACAGCTCTAATGATAGTTATGCGTAGCCTTTAACAGGTTGTTGTTAACAGGTTTTTTTTTGTGAATAGATTTCTAAAATCTGTAATTTCCACTGTTGGTATGGCGGGGAGAGGGTGTTTAGGAAGCTAATTTCATGTTCATCATTAACAGGGGGGTTTATTGTGAATAGATTTCTAAAATCTGTAATTTCAACTTTTGGTATGGCGGGGAGAGGGTGTTTAGGAAGCTAATTTCATGTTCATCATTAACAGGGGGGTTTATTGTTAATAGATTTCTAAAATCTGTAATTTCCACTGTTGGTATGGCGGGGAGAGGGTGTTTAGGAAACTAATTCCATGTCCATCATTAACAGGGGGGTTTATATTAGATCCCTGGTAAATATACAAGGTTTCTTATGACCTCAGAATTATACATAACAAACAAAGTGAAATAAATCTGTTACCTATTTATTTTTCATTCTTCATATTTAATAGCTTTCTTTTGCTTTTTTTGATCATATTTTTTATAAATCTATTCATCAGTTAACACAACGGGCACCATGTAGTTGTTCTGTAGAGTAATTCAAGATGAGGGGTGGTGATTGAGATAAGATGAGGAGCGTGAGGTGATGAAGAATGGGGGAGATGAGGAGGAATGAAGAATGGGGGCCGATGAGAGGAAATAATATAGGAATGAGGGGGATCAATGAGGAGAAATAAGGAAGGGGGAGGGGGCAAAGATGAGGAACGAGGTAGTGGGGGAGATGAAGGGTGATGAGGTAAAATGATGAACGAGGTAGTTGGGGAGATGAGGGGTGATGAGGATTGGGGGCAATGAGGAAAAATGAGGAATGGGAGAAGGAGATGAGGAGAAATAGAAACGGGGAGATGAGGAAGAATGAGAGGTAAAACAGCTGATAAGGTATGATGATGAGTGAAGGGTGAGGTATGATGATGGGTGAAGGGTGAGGTATGATGATGGGTGAAGGGTGAGGTATGGTACCACTTACTTTGTCCTTGGGCTCCTTACACTTGGAGGCCATGTTGAGGAAGGCTCTCTGGTCACTGAATGTCTTTGTAATGGTGTTACACTGGAAATAAACACAACATGGCAAAGGTCAATATACATAATTCAAAGGCCTGAATCGCCCCCCTATGTTTTCATATTTAAACTTTTCTATTTTGAACATGTTTGACCTCTGTGACATTGAAAATTGGCCAGTATATTTCCTCTAGCCCTCAAACTGTAGATCTAGACCAATAATTCTAAAAGAGAAATTGATACTGGACAGACAACAGACAAACAAATGTTGCACGGCCGCAAAAACTTTAAGGGAATTTCAATTTTGTTTAAAGAAATCTTAAAAGCATGTGACTTCACAGATAATGGTCAAGATGTCATGGAAGCTATCAACATTTGTCCTTTGTAACTCACTCCGTCCGTAACACTGGGGGATATATACAGACAGTCTGATAATGGTCAAGATGTCATGGAAGCTCTCAACATTTGTCCTTTGTAACTCACTCCGTCCGTAACCCTGGGGGATATATACAGACAGTCTGATAATGGTCAAGATGTCATGGAAGCTCTCAACATTTGTCCTTTGTAACTCACTCCGTCTGTAACACTGGGGGACAAAGGATTTCCTACAGTTCAAATGAGGGTACACGTATTCTTATTCAATTAGAATGAAACATAACCTGCAATAATCTTTGACTTTTAAAACAATTATGAAACTTATTAATAATTCTCATCCCTAAAGATCACAATGAACTAGGCTGATTCAAAAGACAGAGAATTATAATGTGGATGTTAAGGGTGGTTCAGGGTGGTTCAGGTCCGGAACACATTAAGGTTCCAGCAGAGATTGTAATCGTATACTGTTTCACTTGTTTCCTGAGTAAAAGGGTTAATTGGACAATGCTATTATAACCTACAACACTAAAAGTCTAACATGGGCAATTGATTTTCTGAAAATAATAATTGGTAGTGTAGAATTATTTGAAAAGGGACCGGGTCAGAGAGTACCAGGTGGATAGTAATTAAATATCACTTAACCGGTAAAATATTTCTGTCTGTCTGGAATGATCTAGTCAAATCTATCTCAAGATTACAAATCCCTCACACATACAAAACAAGTCTAAATGAACGACATTCAGACTTGTAAAATGGTTCTAAAATTTAAAAGAAAACAATGAGTTTTTTTGAAACCAAGACATATACCAACTGGTACTATAGAATAAAAGTTATGAAAAAGTTTTAATGAAGAAAAAAAAACAATGACCTTTTTTAGACTATATCATGATGCATACTTGTGTGCTAGTGATCAATGCTTCCTGCCAAAAAATGTGCTTTGTGTTGTTGGGCACTGATAGGCAGTTAAAAAAAAGGTGGAGTTAATGGTGAAATGGCTGTCACAGACAATAATGATGGTACAACAGTACACACAATTCACGAGAAGACGGACATTTGGTGTCATTCCGCAGCAACAAATAACCTACGAGGGATTATTACTTTCCCATTCCCTCTACAAAGTGTGATTCACATACTAATAAAACATGACACACAATCACCTAATCTGGTTAAGTAGGAGAATTCAATTAAAGAATACCGACAGATTTTTAAATTTAATGACCGATCCGAAAAAACTTGAAATGTTAAAATGATACTGATTGAATTTAGATCACTAGATGTTTGGATTGGTAGATATTCTTTAAAATAAAATTTAAAAAAGAATCATAAACTGTCACATTTAAGTTTGTCACAGCTATTTTAAATGGCACACGTTTTTGTTTGACTTCTGGCAGGTCATAATTCTTCAAGTCTCTACCCCCCCTCACCACACACTCACAATGGAATATTAATGACTCATCAAATTTATTTTTAATTTTTCATATCATAAGTGACATGAACTATATTACACTCAGTCGGAGTAAATAAATTGCCCTAATGTACAAAATATATACTTGGTGTCAAAACTGCAGCCTTGTTGGGGTTGGGTTCAATTTAAATTTTCATAACCTATTTTGTAAAATGGGTCCTCTAATTTCATTTTGAATCTATCAAAATAAAAAAATAACCATTCAACAAAAATTCAATCTGAAATGCAGTGACAGATGTAGAACCTGATCAGGATTACCCTAATGTAATTAAATCGTAGTCTAACCTAACCTTACCATACTAATGTAAATTTCTAAAAACTATATTGGAACTCAAAATTGCTTCTGCCCAAATATGGACATTTTCATTAATTGCAATAAATTGTGTATGAACTATATGTATCCCAACATCCATGTGTTCTTAAACTCCAATTTATTCAGACATCTTGGAAATCATTTGAAAATTGCATCATAAGGTTGAGGGCACTGGGAAGTGAATCTGTTCTAACTAATATCTGCTGCTTAGCTGGAAAATACCTACCATGTCTCCAAAATCTAATTTATTCCAGATATCTTGAAAATCAGTTGGATAATTTATCTATTAAGTCTAAGGGTCTAGTGCTTAGATGATTTTCTGGACAGAATCCGTGTGTTTTTGCGGTGATATATTCTGAGAACGATCTACTGATCAGTGGTGTAAGTTAACACCCAGATCTCACCAGCTATTTATGCTGATCTTCCACCTTTATCCAGCATTACACAGATTATTCATCAAGTTTGAAAATACATTAGGTATCTAAATACCACCAGACAATCATACACTTCACATCGAGCTTTAAAAGGTGTTTTTTTGTAAAAATATCTCAAAACTTAGTCAGAAGGCAGCACAATTGGTGACATTTTTTAAACCATGATATGCAAATTTTTCGTAGGTATATTTAAGGTAATAGGATTGTATCGCCATTTCTCAGTAGAATTTATTCAAATTTTGTTGATATATTGCTTTTAAGTAAAGAACATTTTCTGCCACAAAAAAAATATAGGTTGTCAGAATTTTAAGGATTTTAAAAGGAAATTTATGTAAAAAGGAGTGAATTTTGAAAAAAAAATAAAAAAATTGCAAAATAATGTCAATAAAAATGATACTAACATAGATTAGTATTGCATTAATGTATATCAATTTCATAAATGCTGAATTTGTGTACAATCAATTATCTATAAACGATTAAAAATTGATATTTTATAATAAAAGCATATACACATAGTAATTGCATGCAAGAGTTATCGTTCTTGAAAAACTTCACAGTAGTGAAATAGGTAGCCGGTTTCTGAAGTACAGAAAAATGGACTCATTGATTAAAAAACAACTGAATTAATGCCTGGATTGCTTTGCAATACTTTAATATTGAAAGAACACACTGTTCTGTCACTAATAAGAATACAATATTCATCACTTTAATATTAAACATTAGATTATGCGGAAATTGTGATACTGTCTCCCTACATTGGATTTTCAACTAGGGATGTACTTCCTATTTCCGTTTAGCAATACACTCCTATGACCTTAATATGGTTGTGATACTTTCTCAATCATTGATTACTCATGAATAGAAATAGAAACTAACGATCTTGTCCCTTCCTGTACATGTATGTATCACTCTCTCTGTTAAACACCTTCTCTCTACTTTTTGTGTCTCCTTTAATTTTAAAACTATTCCGGCTCGTGTCTTTTTAACAATAGACAATCTTTGAAAATAGAACTACACAGCAGAATTTGTAGCTGTAATTATGAAAAGATCGGCTAATGGTACGTGATTATGTCTGAGGCAGTTAACACCTTCACACTCACCTGACACAGTCTTACACTACAAATGACAACCACTACATGTTTAAAGGACAGCTAAGTTAAAGTGTAATCACCCAAAATCATTTCAGTAGAGAATTTGTCTTTCTTCATTGTTTCTCCCCATTGTTCCTAATAAAGCTGGCTGACAGGTAAAAACAGGTGACTTTTCAGGGAGGTCTGTATCACAGGGAGGTCTGTATCACAGGGACAGAGAAGATATCACAGAAGGAGGATCTGCATTCATGGAGAAATTATTTTCATGCTAAATAAGAGAATCTGTGCTCAAACTCACTTTCTTATTTCTTGCTTAACTCATTTAATTAAGTCAAACTGCCTACAGTGAAGCAGTGTTTGGCTTTAAATCTCTTGAACATTCTTCCTAAACATTGAGAATATTTGATGGTTGTTCTTAATTTCTAACTGGAACAAAAAGTGGACTTGAGCACAGAATCTGAGTTTTGAGCATGAGAAGAGTTTTATGAATACATCCCCTAGTGGTGTGTAAGGGGTATACAATTCTCAACCTTCCAAAGTTAACATGTTTACTTGTTGACCTTCAGCATGGTTTGGTTCTATAGCTGTGAGGCAGAAACAGATGTCATTTGTCAACAATAGATGTTTTAGATCAACATAACTGCTACCCTCTATTAGGCTATGTATATAAGAAGGAAGGAGAACTCTTAATGTCTCAAAATTGATCCTATACAAAATATCATGCCATCATCATACAATGAAATATTCTGTGAGATTTTTAACTGTCATTTCACTGAAATGTGATGTGACATACTGGCTAGTGCTAGCTCAGTGAAACCTGTCACAAACTTGCTAGTGCTTCCCCTGTATATCACCTCAACAAACTATACAAGTTTTACCAAGGTCACAACTGAAAGGACAGCAATGTTAGAAGGAGTTTAAACAGTCCACACAGGGGTCGGGAGAAAGTTCACACAGGGGTCGGGAGGATTTGGGAGTTGAAATATCAACCCAAAGTTCACACAGGGGTTTGGAGGATTTTCACTCACCATAGTTTGGACATCTCCGCCTATCTTCGCACTGAGGGCCTGGAACTTGGCGTACGGTCCGTTGATGATGCCATCGAATGCCTGGACATATGGGACTACCACATCTGTAACAACAGGAAAGAACTGGTCAGTCATCAGTGGTAACAAATAACATACAGGTCAAGGTCATTCATCAGAGGTCACAAGTAAAACATAGGTCAAGGTCATTCTTTAGTTTTATTATTATGGTCGCTCAAGGATTACAAAATAAATTTGACTCTTTCCAACTTTTACAGCTGAGGGTATTCTACTATCTTTATTTTCAATCTTAAAGTGCATTATTTTCAGAAAAAGAAAATCTCCATTTTGAGTTATGGTCTTGATTCAAATCAATTTTTCACTGGCTTGACTTTTTCGACTTCTTATAAAGCTAATAAACAGATTAACTTCAAAAATAAAATCATGGTCATATCACAGCAATGCTCAGGTTTAAGTCAAGAATTTTAATGACAGCTAGGATTAGGATTTCAGTTCTTAAAAATATAATATCTGAATTGGTGCAATCCTGATCAACTTGACAAACTCAGAGCATTAGTGGGGTGGAATGGTGATGGGGAGGTACACGACAATGGTGAGGACATTATAATCTATTACAATGACTTACGCCCCCTGGTGGTGGGTGGCAAAGTCTAAAGCAATGTAAAAGTTTTCCCCATTTGCAGAGAACAGGGCCTGTATTCATGAAACCATTCTCATTCTCGGGCATGGATTTTGTGCTCAAGGCATCTTTCTTTTAACACACTTAAATCATGTGATACACTTAAATCATGTGATACGGTCAAATCATGTGGTACAGTCAAATCATGTGGTACAGTCAAATCATGTGGTACAGTCAACAAGCCCTGTGTAACCATTGGAAACAATACTCAGTCCAAAATCTCTTCAATTTTTTACCAAATCCTTAACAAAATGTATTAAATTATATAATTAAATTTCTCACTAGAACAAGTAAAAGGACTTGAGCACAGAGTCTGAGTTGAAGCACAAGAAGTGTTTCATGAGTACGGGACCGGATCTTTCCTTCAAGAGTACAAGAAGGGGGAAGAACTCAACTTGTGTTGAATTTACAATAAATACGGTATTACAATATACAAACATATTTTTTAAAAATACAAATTTGAGTAATAGGTAATGTATAGAAGTTAGGTGGTGATGTGATAGGGCACACTCTACCAATTCTGTACCATCATCTGAAGCTAATGGCTGATACCACCAGATATATATAGGACAGATAAAACGGGACAACCACTCTTTGAAAATTGGCCAAGACAGATATTCCCCTCACATCTAACACCTGTGACAAACCTTTTGCTAACTTTACCATAGATCTCTAAATAAATCTCCCGTTTACATTTTTCACAACCTCAGATGTATATGTACTACTTTCTATGTACCTCCTAGCTATAAAGTTCAAGGTTATATGTCCGGGTTGTACATCATACATCTGTACCAACTCATATTTTGTATTTTGCAAACATATTTTTTGAGAGATGAAAAAATAAAGATTTCTTCAGATCTGAGATTTAGACAAGAATTATGAGTATAGAGATGACAAACAATTATTAACATCAATCACAGTATACATGTAAGTTTTATCAATCGTATATCATTATATAATCGACTGCATAAACTTCTGGTTTTATCAATTGTATATCATTATATACTCGACTGCATAAACTTCTGGTTTTATCAATTGTATATCATTATATATACTCGACTGCATCAACTTCTAGTTTTATCAATTGTACATCATTATATACTCGACTGCATAAACTTCTAGTTTTAACAATTGTATAAACATTAGGTTATCTCAATTTCGTAAACAAAATTGAAGTCTTTCAATTGCAACTGTATTCCCTGCTTTAAGAAATTGCCCTTAGGTCGGCTACAGGTAGAAGTATATATATATGAGACCACAGTTTAAAGGTTAAGTCACTGCTAACAACTTCTGTTAGAGGTCAGCAGTGAAAAGGAGGCAAACCTCAGCAGCCTTCTGTTAAAATCATAAAATACATGTACACAGACAACCCGAATTCCTCCGTCCCACAGACGGCTGTATCAACCCTCTAAAACTAAAGTGTACTATTTGAAATATTTCATGAAGCCCCTCACCAGAATCGAAACTGTGTGAAAACGATCATTATAAAGCTATATAATGTAACCCTAAAAAATAACCCTGACTTGTAAATAGCCGAATTTATGACAAAAAATCATGTGAAAGTAATCTCCTAAAAAACGACTTTTTTATAACAGACTCGTGGCTGTGGATCAGTTAAATATTTAGTACGATAGCTACATTCCTACGATTCATTACTTATTTCCTGTTCGCCTAGATATGTGTAATAGTTTTATGTTAAGCAGAGTCCAATTAATATACAAGTTGCTTTGTTCAAGGAAGGTAAAGAAATTGGCACAGAAAGGAAGGAAAAATACCTGAAAAAGGAGGGAAAGATGACAGAAAAAGAGAAAGAAAGGTGAAACAGGATGAAAAGAATGATGACAGAAAAAAGAGACACAAAAAGAAAAGAAAGACAATTAAAAAATCAGGACAACAGAAAAAATAAATACATTTTTTTACCAAAGAATGAAAGACAGTTAAAAAACAAAAAACAAAAAAAAAGACAGAAAAAAGGAAAAAGACTTGACAGAACGATGAAAGAAATATCATACAAGAAAAAAGAAGACCCAAAAAATTCAAAAAAGAGATTTACCAAGCTCTGACTGAACGTTTAGACCAGTGGAGGCCTTTGATGGGATGAGGAGAGAGCTTGTAACTTCTATATACAGTCTACTGATATCAATAAGGGGTTGGGATGTAATCTCCTCTCCCCCCCCCCAGACCCCCTACGTACGCTAATGTAAAAATAATTTGATGTCAACTGTACTCTACATGTATGTCAACACTTGAGATGTGGGCGTGGCATGTGTTCCCCAGATAAATTAAATACATGTGAGTCACATGTCACATGATAGTTTCATTACGTGACATAAAGAACCCGCGTAACGACATGAGCATTGACATGCACAGGAATGTGAATCTTTTTTGATCTATTGCATGACAATCACCACAACAATTCTTTGATACTTAAACATTCAAACATGTTCAAAAGCACCAGATTCACTTTACAACCCCCTAATCATTCTTTAGCACCTTTGTGATCAAAAGATAATTCTGGAATTTTGCATATTAATTTTTTGGAGCATAAATCTTTGATATTACTAATTTTCCAAAGGGTTTCTGGCGATAATTATGGAACTCCATAATAATTTTCAGAACGGAAATTTCACCAGACACTTAGGATTCCAGCACGTTTTGGTATAATTATGACTTTGTGTAATAATTTCTAAAACCGATCTTTGACACCTATATCTTCAAACAAATTCATACGGTAATTGTGACGTTCACTTTCTCTGTGATCAGACCTTTTCACGTACATCGCTAAGGCCTTATTGACACGTAGCATGTTCAAACGATTACTGATTATACATATAGCCAGCCGTGATCACACGTAAGCCCATCCCAACACGTGAGAATACCACAACTGGTGTACTTCTGCATGTGCCTATATTGGTTTACCTTTCATTTTTTTTTAAAAACATCAACACCCGATGTGGTCCCCCCACGCCTTCAACTACAGTTGTTTTTTCCCTGCGCTGGTGTTGATTATCTACAGTCTATGACACTTGATTAAGTCTGTGACAGAAAACATGCGGCACCACCTGTACGTAATATCCAACACTGATAGACAGACATTTTCTACATTTCTATTGCATGTGCACAAGTGAATGCATGTGCATTTCATGTCATAACTGTATGAAATTGGTTGCAAACTTGTCCTGTTCTTTTTTAAACTGTTAGATGTATCTGGTAGTTTGTAGATCTACAGATGAACAGCTTTACTTTACAGGCCTTGAATACTGCTTAAAATGAGATCATCAGGACCTGGATATACAAGTAGGCTTTGTGAGATTCAGTTAAGGTGAGTATTCAGCTCATACAAATTGGATTTAATAGTATCTGACCTTTAACATTGATTCCCCTGACAACTGTTGTTACCAAACCGGACCTTTAACATTGATTCCCCTGACAACTGTTGTTACCAAACCTGACCTTTAACAATGATTTCCCTGACATCTGTTGTTACCAAACCTGACCTTTAACACTGAGATCTCTGACAACTGTTGTTACCAAACCTTACCTTTAACATTGATTCCCCTGACAACTGTTGTTACCAAACCTGACCTTTCACAATGATTCCCCTGACAACTGTTGTTACCAAACCTGACCTTTAACATTAAGCTCCCGACACCTGTTGTTACCAAACCTGACCTTTAACATTAAGCTCCTGACAACTGTTGTTACCAAACCTGATCTTTAACAATGATTCCCCTGACAACTGTTGTTACCAAACCTGACCTTTAACAATGATTCCCCTGACACCTGTTATTACCAAACCTGACCTTTAACAATGAGCCCCCTGACAGCTGTTGTTACCAAACCTGACCTTTAACAATGAGCCCCCTGACAACTGTTGTAACCTAACCTGACCTTTAACAATGATTCCCCTGACAACTGTTGTTACTAAACCTGATCTTTAACAATGATTCCTCTGACAACTGTTGTTACCAAACCTGGCCTTTAACATAAGCTCCTGACAACTGTTGTTACCAAACCTGACCTTTAACATTGATTCCCCTGACAACTGTTGTAACCTAACTTGACCTTTAACAATGAGCTCCCTGACAACTGTTGTAACCTAACCTGACCTTTAACATTAAGCTCCTGACAACTGTTGTTATCAAACCTGACCTTTAACATTGAGACCCTTGACTCCTGTTGTTACCAAAACTGACCTTTCACATTGAGCCCTTGACTCCTGTTGTTACTTCACAAAATGAGTTATTTATTGGGGCAACTTTTAAATCATCATCATCTTATGAAAAACCGATTTCTGACATGAAAATGTCTATTTTTCTTTCTTTTGCATTTCAGTTTTGACGTTTGGGAATCTCTGTCAGATCACTGCTTTTATTACCCCGACAACGCCTTGAAGAAAACGTCCAC